AGCTTTTAGCTTTTTGTGTCTAGCTTTTAGCTTTTAGCGTCTAGCTTTTAGCTTTTCGCTTCTAGTCATGCTTTTTAGTTATATGCTTTTTAGCCATGCGGCTTTTTAGTTATATGCTTTTTAGCCAGCACTTCTTGGCGCTTTTTGAGCATACTCTGTGTTGCATGCCATCTCCTCCAAAACCATGAGGAGAAACGCCACCTAGTCTCGTCAAACTTTACTTCTATTTATTTACTTTAGTTTCTTTTCTTTTCCGTTGAGAGTTTCATGTTCTGAGTTAAGTTTTGCCTAATGCCGTGTCTCCGAGTCCGACCTCGAGTGCCGTCTAAAACTTCAACCAGGCCACAACTCCGCGTCGCCAGCCAACGCCCGACCACTGGCTTCCCAAGACTGAACCTCCAGCCAATCAGAAAAGCGGGAAACCCCTTTCGGCAACCAGACAAGGAAGGGAACCCTGCACACAGGAAAGCAAGTGCCTTCAGATCCTAGCTGAACTGGTGCATTTAATATAGATTTTAACCTCATTGAGGAACACAATGCGAGGGTTAACTAAGTGATTGATGGTTGTTCAGATCTATGCTATTGCACATATTGCTGTAAACTTGGGATTTCACATTTTCATTCTCTTAAACGAATTATTTCCTCACTTTCTCTCTTTCTGCAACTTGTGTGAATACGTGTGTTAGATTAGTTTATATGTCTTAGATTTATCCAATAAAGCCTTATTTATATTGAAAAGAGAAGTATCTCGTGTTTTGTGCTCACAAGTTAATGTCTTAAACTGCCGACCTTGTTACCGTGCTAATTAATAGTGTTTTCACTATATTTTGGATATAAATATCCATTGCAGAATTGATGTCATACGGCTCGTTCAATGACTCGCTGGCCAGAATCACCGTAAAACAGTGATTCTGTCCAAATTCCCTTACATATTATTGGTGGAGGTCCCTTTAAAATCTTAAATGATTCCCTTTGAGCTAAATTGACCTGTTTCCCTTACAGACCCTTCCCCCGAAATGCATCTAACACCTCCGAAAGGCAGAACAGGCCTCTGGTTCCATGGCAACCAATGCTGATATCACTGGTTTTATTGCCCAAAGAAATGTGGGCAGAGAAACTCACTCATTTTCCTCATAGGAAAGACACATAATGCCCAGAGAAATGGACTGTTCTCTAATTAATTCATAGGAAAACCTTTCTTTGAATGAACACGCATATCCTTCAGGTCATTGTGTATGTTGTTACTGTTCTTGTATATTGTCTTTTATATTGTATACTGTTTTATGCAGGCCTATGATAGAACCACTCGTTCATGTCAACTTACCTGTATGTAATCCTACCATGTTTAGTATCTACGAATTTCTAATCACGGCTTTAATTTTCTTTTGCACTAATGAGTTGGTCCACAAGTTGGCAACACTGGCCCGGGCCGTTGTTTCACAGCTGAAAATAAATAAAAGAGACATGACAACAACAACAACAACAAACTACTGCAGATGCCCGCATTGACAAGCACCTTTGAGCTAAATTATTAAATTATTATCACTGTTTACCCTACACTATTAATGAACTTTTTTCACTCATTTTCATTCTGTCACTCGTCATGATTTTTTTCTCCCCTCCACCCGGTGAACAAGCCACACTAATAGGTTATGAATAATTCTGTTTCAGCTTAGATGGCAATTAGCCACAATGTTAGAGGCTATCCTTCTTCCCCTGTTGAGGTGTAGGGATTTACGAGTGTCAGCTAGATGAGGCGCACACACTTTTCTTTGATTCCTAACCAATTACAAGCTAGATTCTTCAAAACATCTCGTATTGATAAAGAGCAGCCCATTAATATCAACTCTACCATCGACAAGGCTTCCAACGAGCATGTAATTCGTTCTTACTGGGTTGTGTTCTCCATCTCAGGGGGCTGGAAGTGGCGTTCTTTATTCAGGGGCATATTTATTCACATCAGCCCTTCTAGGGCTTTTCACCGACTTCTAGTCTGTCTTATCAGAGAGCTCAGCAGTTTTCCAGGATAGAACTATCAGCCTGAGGACCACACAATGATGAGGTTCCTTATTAATGCCAAGCTACATCTCAGACAACTGGATGAACCAAGACATATCAGATAGGCCGGCTGTCATTATGTTAGTGCCTGGCTAACCCTATGAGTTTTAAATTACTATTTCAATAATTTAACAACACATTTGTATGTTCTCTGATGTTGATGATGATTATAATAATATTATTTGTAGTATGTTTAAACTCTAATTATAAAATCATGTTTTAACGGTAATTGGAAATATATTACTGTTGGAAATTACAATTGTACTGTAAAATAAAAGAAATAATATATATAATATATACTTTTATTTAATTCAATTACAGACTTTGATTTGATAGTAGCATGAAACTATTTTGCAATTATCATGCAGTCCCATTTATTTATTTTAATTTAACATTCGACATAATTAATTATCAGCTTCTTATCAACTCCTGAACCCCCATTTGGGAAACCATACTGTAGGAGATTATCTTCAAATATGAATATAATAAAGTTATTTTACATTTTAAACTATTTCACTGTAGAATTACGATCTGCAAAGCATTAGATAATGGTCTAATAAGGTTTGTTTATGCCTTATTTATGAAAGTTAGGGAAGCTCTTATAAAGTCTTACCAAAAAAATAAATAAGAGATGGGAACATGCGTACAACGATTAAAAGCAAATTAGCTCTCTTTGTAATCTTTGCATTTTCGTCTCCGAGTTTCCCAAATGATGCTTTGCAGCACAGCATGAATATAAGCAGCAAGTGGGGAAGTTCAAAGTGAAGTGTTATGAATTACACATGAACACACACACAGACGCTATTCTACCTCCCATTCAAAGGTCCTTATCACATGGAGACAGTCAGCCTTAATGATCAGCCCATTCTGGACCAACCTGCCAAGCTCTAACAGAGAAAATAAGGCAGACTTCCAAATAACAAACACAGGATAAAGCACTTCAAAACCTCTGGCGACGAGTTAAAGGACAACGAAAGAGATTGGGGTCAGCTTTTGGATGCAACGCCGCCACTTTCCTGTCAACTACATAATGCCAAAAGTCGATCTGAGCAAATTATGGTCCACTTAATCCTGAATATACTGTACAGTTACATCCTCTTGTTTGAAGATGGTTTCAAATTAGTGCATGCTGTTCCACAAGCTTGATGGAGACAAAATACAGAAGGGAACATTTCGGAAGTGCATTTATACTTACACATCACGGTAAGAAAGACGTTCCCTGATGCCAGGACGACCTTCTCCCGTGTCGCTCGGTCATAGATTCCAACATGGCATTCATAAGGTCCGTTGTCTGAGATCCGGACCTCTGGGAGCCTGTGGAAAAAGATCAAAATTAACTGTAAGACATTTTCAGTGATTCAAAGACTGAATATGATTATGGAGGCTTACGTCAAGCTCCCATGACAGACATACATCCTGAAACTAGATTCAAGCAATTTTTAAACAAATCTAAGCAAAGTTTGCCTATTGTCATGATGCTAGGGTGTTCTGGCAGCTCTTTAGTGACATTCTCAATGACATTCTGGACTTTAAATATGGTTCTGGTTTCTCCTTCAGTGTAAACTACTACTACATTTTTAACACTTTCAAGGTGAAAACCTTTTTTTTTTTTTTATCCAATTGCTTAGAAACGTAATAGCACATTTCTTTGCAACTCCAAAGGAAAGAATAAAATATACAAAAGAATTGTTTTATTATAATACAGACTTCTCCAAAGAGTCAAAGGCTTCATTCTGCATTCTGAGCATGGACTACAATGCAAATCAAAGTGAGATTTTCAGCTGCAGGCAGCAGATCAAGGACAATTGTCCTTCCTGGCCTCATGTAGAAGAAGAGAGACTGCAGTGAAGCTGAAGCAACTGGGTGTGTTGTCATAGTAATGTACCAGGTAAAAGAAAAGAGAGACTACTGCCTAAGAAAACAGTTGTCTGTCTGCTGGCTCAACAAATTCCCATAATGCCTCACTCCATCCATCCATTTCTGCTGTCCCTGGAGCCCCACAGAGGGGGTTAGACTGCTGACGATGGCTGATATAGGAATACTCAAATGCTTGACTTTGTGATACATTTTTGTAGCTTTTTCCTGTTCCATTCTGTTCCTCTCTTTTTCTTTGCATCTTCTCTCTCAGGTCAACCAATAAAACAAACAGGAGGCTGTATTACTTACTGTACTGGTTGAGTAAAAGTGGCTATTGCTGCAAACCATAAAAATAGATTAGAAAATGTGAGCCAAGTTTCATCTTGGAAACTATAATGATGCCCAATTTTGAGCTCTATGCTACCAAAAAAAAAGAAGAAAGTATTTTATCTTGCCTTTCATGAAAAACATCCAACAAGTACACTTAATTGAAAAGCAAAATTGCATAAGATAGTATAACTTGTCAAATAGTTCTTCTTTTTTTTCAAATTAAGTAATGTTTTTGGATATTTCATTTATTATTTTATTTGCAGATAAATTCTACAGTTCAAAAGTTTGGAGTCTGTAAGATTTTTTTCTGTTTGTGAAAAAAGTCTCTTAGGCTCACCAATGCTGTATTTCTTTGATCAAAAATACATTAAAAACAGTAATATTGTGAAATATTATTATAATTATATTCTTAATATATTTGAAAATGACATTTATTATTGTGATGTCAAAGCTGAATTTTCAGCATCATTACTCCAGTCTTCAGTGTCACATGATCCTTCAGAAACCATTTTATTATACTGATTTGCTGCTCAAGAAACATTTGCTATTATTTGTGTGGAAATTGTGATACATTTTTATCAAAGTAATGTGATTTATTTAAAAAAACTTTTGGTCTTTTTTGTTTGCAAATCTTTTGAGTCCTTGTTTCAAATTCTGAACAGCATAACTTCTCAAGTCTCATGAAAAATAATGATAACAACAACAAAAACAATTCCCAGCCTTTTTCTCTTCGCTTCAGTCAAGTGATCCTTTAACAATCTCAACAGCATCTGCATAAGCTCGACACCGGTCGACAATGTCCTGTTGCTCAGCCCCTTTAAAGCAAGCAGAAATTGAGTGAAACCAAGCTCATTTATATTGAATGAGGGCAGCGGGTGAGTTCTCAGCACAAGTGCATAAGCATTCCTTTCATGTACGCCTCCACCCCTCCCCACCGCGGCTTTCTTTCCCCCCCGCACCTCAGATAGCTCACTTAGGCTTGATGAGTAGAAACACAGGCAGAGTTAATTGCAGTGTGTTCACCATCATGGCGATGGCAACAAAGCAGCGGCTGTAAACAAAACCACTCTGCCATTTCTCTTCACAGATGTCTATAATTTTAACCCCCGTCTATTGGCAGTTTTTAGAGTTTTTATTGTTGTTTTTCTTCGTTTTTTTTCTCCCCTTACTTCCAGGGCTGCTTGACATGCATGGACCATGATGATTGGATGAGAGGTTTGGCTCCAGCTTTGTACATTGGCATTGGTCTCACGTTCCACCCTGCAAGTGTCCTCTCTCTGGATGAGCTTTACTGCCCGGGTCTCTGAATCCCAGCCAGCACATTTCTTGATTCCTGCCTCTCTTACCTCTCCACCTCTCCTTCTTTCTGCCTTTCGACACTCGCTGTCTCTTATTCGCTCATTCTCTCCCCTCTGTTGCATACTTCCTCTTTGGATTGCTGAAATGCCGGCGATGTTGCACAATAGTCTGGCTCGCTCTGGTATTCAGTTCTTCAAAATAACCTCAATGGGACTGAAACTCCAGGTTCTTCACATTTTTTCTCACTCTCACCCTCTTTGTATTCTCTCTCTCTCTCTCTCTCTCACTGTGCTCTAAAAATGTAGATGGATTGTTAATCAGAGAGTAATAAAAAGCCGATTAGCACTAAATCACACCGAGGCAAGAAGGGATTTGCCTAGCCAGGTCCTGCCACTCTGCAGTGTGTGTGTGTGTGTGTGTGCGCGCGCTGAGAGGGACAGAGCGCTCGCTGCCAGGAATATAACATTCAGTAATTATAGAAATGTGCCATGAATTTCTCAGCTGAGACATGTTCTTATTGGCGTTGTGGGCGTATGATGTTAGAATATGTCCGAGGCTGAATTTATGATGTTGGAATATTCACAATAGCTCATGTTTTCATGAGTCATCAAACACATAAGTCAGCTGAGGTGATCTTTCACTCGAACATTCACTTATAGGGCCTTGAACAATAGTTAAAAAACAGTTCACAGACCAATTCCATTCAACGTGGCAATTTATGCATGAATAGATTTGTGAACGATTTACAAAGAAATCAATTATTTGTGTTTCATGAATGAAGGTCGTTGTGACCACAGTAATGGTTGACCAACTTTTCAATGGCTGACGTCAATCTCGGTGTTCATGGTTGCTGGAATCATACTTACACAATTTTAACTGAATTATAAAGCCACTAGGGCTCTTTGCAAACTTTCAAATGGGTAAAAAAAACATTTATTTATTTATTTACTTACTTGCTTGCTTACAAATTGCATGCCATTAGGGTGCTTCTGCAACATTTTAAAGGGTCAACCAACATGAAAAAAAAAAAAAACATAAAATCTCAATTGAAACACCATATAGGGGCCTCTGATATTTTCAAAGGGCTTGCAAAAAAAAAAAAAAAAACCTTTAGCAAAACAAACCAAAACTTATCAAATTTAAATGTTTAAATGCCACTAGGATGCCTCAGCAAACTTTCAAAGAGCCTACAAGATGAACAAAGCAAAAACAAAACTTTGCGAGATTAATAAAATAAAATAGAAAACATACAATTTAACCTAAAAATGGTACATAAAATAAAAATAATAATTCTTAAAAATTCAAAGACAAAAATCTAAATGTTGCACAAAACAGGATTGTAAGGGCATGGATGTAAATCCATCATTCGTGCCTCTACTACACAAGCTTTCATGTGTGCGGTTGTCAGATATTAAGAGTTCAAATTCATGTCGGCGCCTATAGCCTCACGGTTAATTCAAATCAACAAATCAGAGCTTCTCTGTTAAAAGGATACTTTTTCTGCCCGGTGTTTAGCTTAATTTTTCCACTCTGCCAATCATGCGCACACGCTCACTCTTCATTGCGGAAGTACCAACGATGATCTGAAAACCCCGACAAACAAGTAAGCTGGAGTTTAGCGATCTCCATGTGTGATGTTCAGCTTAAATGAAAGTGCCATTCAGTCAGTCTGTGTTCTGTCATGAGATCTTGACTATTTTGTTTGCGATTGTGGTTGCTGAATAAATGTTGTTTTAATAGAGAAACATTATTGCAATTTGGAATTACTGGAAATACTATTAGGAATAGTATTGTAAAAAGCTTTTATTAATGTTAACAGAGAGAGTGCTTATCTGCAAGTCTTTGATATTAATTTATATATTAAATAGTCTATAATAACCATCTGTATGAGTTCATATTCTGTTGGTGTGTGCTTACTGGTAAAAGTGCAATACCTAAAATGTAAAAATAAACTTCTCAAATGACAACAATCATTGCGATTATAATTTTGAGCAAATACTTTTTTATCAGTTTAACCATTAAACAGAATGACGAAAATAAGTTTTCAATGACTAAAACTAGACTAAAATGCTCAAACATTTCGTCGACTAAAAATTTACTAAACAAAAACAGGACATGATTGATTAAATGTGATAATAACTAAAAAGTACATTTGACACAGGACTAAGACTAATTTAAAAGACTAAGACTAAATTAAAATGGCTGACAAAATTAACCCTACCTCGAATCTCACATTTGAAAATGAAACGCTCATAAATCAGTGCAATTGGCATGAACACAAGCCATCTTGCTCACCTTCTCGACAAGATATATAACAGTCAGTGCTGCTCCACTACACAGTGTCCTCACTTCCAGACTAAAAAGAGACATCACATGCTTCAGTGGCACAGTATATTTCATCTCTCTCTTTTAACACTGTTGTTGCGTTTCGGTGAAGAGGCATGAAAAAAATCTGATAGATGTGCATGATAATCAGGGGCTTTTATTGAAGAACGGGCTTCTCCTGAAGGGCCCTGGAGGGCCCAGTGGGCAAAGTACATTTGACACAGGACTAAGACTAATTTAAAAGACTAAGACTAAATTAAAATGGCTGACAAAATGAACCCTACCTCGAATCCCACATTTGAAAATGAAACGCTCATAAATCAGTGCAATTGGCATGAACACAAGCCATCTTGCTCACCTTCTCGACAAGATATATAACAGTCAGTGCTGCTCCACTACACAGTGTCCTCACTTCCAGACTAAAAAGAGACATCACATGCTTCAGTGGCACAGCATATTTCATCTCTCTCTTTTAACACTGTTGTTGCGTTTCGGTGAAGAGG